TTCAATATGGTTGCCACAACTTTTGTAGCCTTTTATAATTCATTAATTGCTATTGTTTTTTATTATCAGATATCTATTGCCAGTTCAATAGCAAGTTCAGAGTTAACTGACTCTAGTGACGTTGATTATTTTGATGATGTAAGTCACTTTTATTAGTAATGCAACCAATTCATTACTTATGTAAATGTACATGTGGAATGGCACTTAAGTATAAGTATTAATTAATTTCCCATTTTTAGGGTATGATGGATGATGATGATGAAGAAGATTTTGTAAATCCTCTTATACTAAAAGACATTGAACTAATTAAGGAGCTACACGGTGACAACTGCATTGAACACAAGTCAGTATACACGTACATACATGTACATATACAGTATTGCATGTGAATTTACTTCCTGTTAATCTACATATTCTATAATTTTTGCGAATGACCTGTATCCGGATGTTCACGAAATTAATTTTTGCAAATTTTCACTATTCTACCATCTTGTACTGTATTAAGAAATTAATTTCACGAATTTAAAAAAATCTACAAAATTCACGAAATTTGTTATCCTCGAAAAACACACTATTTATGGTACTTTTCTTTGCCTTCCTCTCCCTCTCTCTTCCTCTCCCCCTCAGATTGCATGCTGGAATCAATGAGATGGACATACTCCTCTACATTGATATGGGGTTCCTTGATGGGCACACTGCCTCAGCCTGGGGCGTGGACTCCAGCATACCAATCGTCCTTCACTTCCACTTTCAATCTGCCAGTGAGTATTTGGATGGGCCAGAGCCAAAGGTTGAAGTGTATCAGAGCTCAATATCGAGCAAAGAGAAGAGAAAGTTTGGATTGGGAACACAAATACAAAAGTAAAGTATACATGTAGATCTATGTCTAACTAAAAGTCTCATTTTGTAACTGAAACAACACTAATATGTACATGTATGTCTTCCATTTAGATTCTAAAGATAATTTTTGCACAAAATAACTGTTAAACAGTATAGCTAGCTAAATCATTCTATGGAATTTCACCATGTCAAAAACAGCTTTGTAAATTTTTATTATATTTTCTTTTTTCCTGATATTATAACTATTAAATAATTACAAGAATGTAACTATAAATATATATTGACACCATTATCATTATATTAATAATGATAGATACATTATATTGTCTACAGAATTGTTGAGACATTCATTTCCATTAATTGGAGAAGCACTTCAAACTATCACCTGAAACAAGAATGTGAGTTGTGTCCATTTTAATTAAAATCATTAATTTTAAAACATTTTAAAATCATTAATTTTTCTTTGATAGATGAAAAAGTTTCTTCCACCGATGAATCAAAAGCCACACCTACAAACACACCCCCTTCAAGCATACCAGATGAATCAAGCAACTCTCATAAACTGTTATTAATGGGATTCTCCCCATCATCAGTGAGACAAGCTCTTGTAATGTGTGGAGAGAAGATAGAGAGAGCCATTCACCTACTGACCACTGGAGAACTGATTGATGAAGAGGAGGAGGAGGGGAAGGGGCTGGAGGAAGAGGTGGTCAAGGAAAAGGAAGAGAAGCCAGTGTAAGTATATAATTATTATTTGATTATGCTTTGTGGTTTTTGTTTTTATAGTTCTTTTAGGAGACAGGATTCACAAGGGGCTAGAGCTACTGTGTCACTCCATCACAGTATTGAGGTACATGTATAGGATAAAATATGATACAGAATGTCATCACCTGCTTCATGTGCATGTACATGTATTTAATTATAAATTTTATATGTGACCTTGGCAGTTGCTGTAATTCATTGCCTAATTTAGTGCATGGCTTTGCATCAAAGATGGTCTATCTTTTTTATCCCCTCACCATTGCTATCATGATTGACCTTGACCACTTATATTTTCACTTAATATTATTTTTCTTAATAATAATAATTGCAAACCATTTAGTCAAAATTAATTGTATAGTCTAGTTAGTCTACTCACTAATACTAAAAAAATGTTAGCTTATTTTATTAATACTTTATGTTGAAAGGAAGTCACAGACAGTGTTAACTTCTTTGCGAGTCACTTGGTAGTAAGCTTTTGCATGTATCTCTGTGCCACTGAAATCCAGTGTGACATCAACTATACGTTTACTAATTGGCAAGTTGTCTGGATTAGGAATATCTATGACAAGTTTACCAATAACAGGAAGAATTACTTTCTTCTTCTCATTTGCGTAGTACTGAATTCCAAGGTCAGGTGTTGAATAGATGCTAATGCTCACTGTAGTATCAGCCTTATAATTTGGAGCTAAGGTTGTAGTAATGACCTCATTAGCTTTAGCTAGTTCTCCTTTTTCTAGAAATACTTTGAATACATAATCACACCGGTCTTCTTTACGGTCTTCATTGTAATACTTATAAACTTCATTGTGTTTTTCAGGATCAAATGTAATTGTAACTCCTATTCCATAAGTGGCATCAACTCGTCTTGCTTTGAATTTCTCAGGATTCTTACGCCACATAGCAGCTCCAGTAGCAACAGCTAAGTGAGGAGTGGGAGGTATCAGTACAGAGCATGTGTCTTTGTGACCTTTAGACTGATAGTGACTTTCTATAGCAGCACTGACCTTTTCATGAACATACTTGCACCCTCCAAAAGCACCAACCAGGTAAAATGTGTTAGGGCAGTTGTCGATTTTTTCAATAGCTGCCAGTGTGCAATCAGTAATGCCTTGGATAGCAGGACCAAACAGCTTAGGCTCTATGACACTTTCATTAATACGGAATGTGTCATTTTCATCTGGATCATAGTCTGTGCCACTCATTTTTTCTACTCCTTCAATAAGATCTTCTTCATAAAACCGTACAAAGTTTCTTGGAAGTTCTACTGCAATTTCTTCGATTTTTTTTTGACCAAAAAGCACCTTTTGTTTTTCAAATTCAGTGTACACAATTTTATTTAGTGTAGCATGATTTTTAGTACAATCTCCTGAAGCAATAAATTTTTCAAA